TTTTTTTTTTTAGCTTTTAGGCCGTTCTATCGACTTGAACAAACTGATCACTCAGCGTCTCAATAACTCCATGATACGGTCCTTGGATTGCGCTATTGGTCGGTTCGAGAGCGGAGATATCTGTGGTGTTGTGGTATGTCTGAGCATCTAGGTTTCAAGACAGTCTATCCTTGTAATCTTAAATCGAGAAATGCGCGTGCCCTGTTTTTGAAATCTCCGCGGTATTTTAAAACGAGTCCCAAAGGCACAGTTGAACAGTGCAGTTAGTAGGCACAAGTTTCCGTCGTATTGTCGTAAAGAAGATGGGAATTGAGACCACGAGATGTAGATAATACAATGTGCTAAACATTTCTTAAGTGCTGTGGAATGCCTTTGCTACACTGACTTGGTTTTCTGATCACCCCGGCTTAAGGTAGGCTCAATTTTCGCCGCTTCGTCGAGTCAAGCTAGTCTACATTCCTCCCCGAGAAGAGAGTGCCTTCTTGGGAAGAATGCGGGCACCTTTCCCGAACAGCGGCTGGTAATCGAGCGTGGGCCTCAGATGAATAAACTAACTGTAACACGTGTCTCTTAGGACTTGGAGAACTTACTCGACGTAAACCGAATGACGCACCAGTTGCTGTCCAAGTGCGTGAAGCTGATTCCATTCAAGAACATCCTGGGCGAGGCGAATCACTCCGTGTCCGCTCCTTATGGCAGGATCACTCTTCATGTGTTCTGGGAACTCAATTTCGACTTCCTTCCAAACTACTGCTACAACTCATCCACAAACAGGTGATCTTGTGTTTCTGAAACGGTACTTTTCAGTCCCAAGTTACTCGTTTGCCATGTCCTGGAACTAAATATTTACTACTCTGATCGCGTGGCTGACAGAGATGCCTGATGAAAAATGTTTCCAAAATTCAATTATTTTGCAAACTTTCCACAGACAAATAGCACCACTTGAAAGTACTGCTCGATGGCTTTCATTTGAATCCATGGTCACACACTAGAGTTTCATCCTGGTTTGTTTAGGGGATTCATCCTTATAGTAACGCAAACCTTGTACAGCAAAGTACAGAGAAACTGTTACCAGTCAATCTCTCTCTATTTTTAAAAGTAAACTTTGTTAAGTTATTTAAAAATGCAGTTTTTATTGGTTTTATTTGTAATTTTAGTTTTTATTATCATTTTAATGTTTCAGAGTTGGCGTGATGTCCTCTGGATGTTGCCGACGAAATAATATTTAGATTTAGATTTAGAAACACATTCACGTAGTTGTAACAGTTTAGTCACATTCAACTTATCAACAGTACGAACCAGGGCCCCTCGCTTTTTCTCAAAGTAATTTACCGTCAATTTAAAGGATTTTCTAGTAAAATAACGCTTTAATTCTTCTGTTGTCTTCAGATTTATTCGCACAACTCTTTCTTATGTGGACAAAGTTTCCAGAGAACAAGCCCCAAAGCAAGCGTATCATTATTTCTTCGGTACAAAGGTAAGTTAGATTAAGTGCATTACATAAAGCTGGATGAGTAAACTGGACTTCCATAGAGGCAATGTGGCCCAGCGGTTAGGGCGCCCGACTTGAAATCCGGGGGTCTCGGGTTCAAGTCCCGCTCTGACTACTTAGCTGGAGCTGTCTCTCGGTAGGCCCAAGTTCAACTCTTCGGTCATGTTCGTAAATAGCCAACTGGTCTGCCTCCCGCCAGTTGAAATTTAGTTGATATATTTGTTTCTTTCAATGGCATTCCTGTGTAATACCTAGGTGTAGCTAAACGCATTGACCACTATAAACAGCAACATTTGAACATTCGCGCGCTCAATCTTCTCTTCACGAGGGATTCGGCTGTCTGCAATTCGGCTAAAGAGTATTCGGTTCCATGGTGATGTCGATGTCGGGAAATTTCAGAACCGCGCAATAACGAATCGTACACATTTTACGGTTCTCCGTGGCGCTTCGTCGTATTTTTCGGTGTGGGCGGACCTCAGAGAATGGAGCATGCGACGAAACACCTGTTTTTTTAGTCCATCAGGATGTGGTATCAGCTGTGGTATGAACTGGTGGGTGGTAGTAAGCCGACGAACTGTGTGAATTAATGTTTTTGTTTTTTTTTTTCGTGTTTCAGCTTCAAAACTCCGTGTTTAACGCCATCGCGTCACTGTACAGTAACTTTGTCGGTGACATTCATTTTGCTTGCATTGCTCGCTTGCTTGGTTACCAGGGAATTGCTGTGGTGATCGAGGAACTCCTGAAGATCATTAAGAGTGTGGTAAGTCATAAAAATGCTCACGATACAGAATACCTAATACCAAAAAAAAATACCTTCTCTATTCCACAACTCACTCCAACCACGCCCCGGCCCCCCTCGCCTTCCCCAATATCCCCAACCCCCAGGATTGACCAAAATTTATCCTGGGCTCCTAAAAAAATGGCTTGGGCTCCTTTTGAATTTAAAAATTTCCTTAGGCAATAGCCTTGTATCATGGTCTTTTTGTGAATTACTATGTCATGATAGTTACGCCAATGTAATGTGCGTAACCTGCCAAAATTGGCTGCTGGGGAATACTCTTAGTCAATTTCCTGGGGATCAAGCTGGCTTCTCAGATATATCGATACAGAGATGGGAGTGGATTTTAACCTTTCAACGTACAGTTCATTCTTGAAGGAGGATCTGGATGGGAGTGTTGTAATCTCAATGATCAGTGAGATTAATTTTCGGCGATTTTTTTGGCTATCAATTGAAATTTTGGCCCAGTTCTCAGCTATTGGTAAATTTTTTGCAGCTCTCAGATCTCCCGGGTGAAACAAAAGTTATCACTTTTGCTAATATAAGTTTGGCAGTGTAATAAACATTTTGCCTAGTTCTTAATTTGCTGTCTGTTAAACTCCATCCAGACACTCTTGAGGCGGTACAATAACAACCTTGTTTGTTTAGTGGTTTTATTTGAAATTCCCCTGCGTCGATGTCGTCGTACTAACGTGATTTCCAATCCGCAGCTCCTCGGTCAGCTTCAGCCATACATCGCCCAGCTCATTGAAGGAATGCCTAAGAAATGTGGCCTTCCTCGCTTTGAGTACGGATCCACAGGTAAGCTTAAGTGCGGATCCAGAGGTGTCTGCCAAGGTACTTTTGGCTGTGGCGAGTTTAAAAAGAGCTTGTAAGTCATCTCTTTAAACGAGTTTCATTACGGTTCAAATCGGCGGAACTTCAAAACAGTAGCTCACTAATGGCACAATAATGAGCTTTTAAAAGTGTTTATCTTAAAAGGTGGTTAAGGCTGGGCAACACTGAAGTAGATTAGGTTTTCCTGGAGGCGTGACGTTCCACATAAAGCCACTTTAAAGGGAATGTTTTACATTAATTTTAGACTACTATTTTCCTCTTATCTTGTTGTGGCTCGATGCAAATCTCAAAGCTGCCGTCAAGATTATGTACAGGATTATGCGTATGAGAGTTTTTCGGTTGTGTACCGTCAATTATTTTCTCGTAGTTTATTCCACCCTTATTAGCTTTTATTGCATCTCACAATTAAAGTCTGCTCTGCTCTCTCCCTTCCGCTTTTAAGATAAAGATGAGGGTTTTTTTTTAATTTTGGTGTTATTTGTATTTCGTTTTTTTGAATGTAAATAGACGTTGGCACATTTCTTCCCTTACTTTTCTGCCAGGTGTCCTTGAATACTATCACGCTAGCCTTGAACCGATCATGCAGTACCCGTACCTGAGGACAGACGTGTTTCAGGGATTCAGAGAGATCGGTAACGCCATTCTCTTCTGTCTACAACTGGAGGGCTTCTTGGTAAGTTACTGCCGACAGTCCCTGGCTGATGTTTTTGTGAAGCTAGTTGTAAACACCGTGAGTACCTCGAAATTTGTTGAATCAGGTTTTTGCCTTTTTTGCCACACTATTTTGAGTTATTTTAACCACGTCCAAAATTATCTTTAAATTGAAAGAAACCTAAGAATAGTAGTTTACTATGATAGAAAAACACTAAAGAGATGATAATAAACCATAAAGGAACAAGGATGCCGATGGTTTAGGATGGGGAAGATTAACACGGAGTACAAACGACGAACTTGAAAAATTTTGGTTGCCCTTTTCAAAATGTGCAAACTGTGACGTAGCTCCTTTAGTCATAGACTGTCACCTGGGAAAAACGTTTGCTACTGTCGTCTAGGATCTTGTTTTGATAATCTACTTCATGCATTATTTTCTTTTCCACTTTTTTCCTATTTTTAGTCTCAAGAAGAGATTATGGATCTGCTGCACGCTGCACCATTCCAAGGAATTATTCCCAGACCTTACCTTAAAGGTACCATAACTTAGAGTTTTTAGAAAAGGGTTAAACGCTAACCCAGGATTAAAGGTTAACCGAAGTGTTAAATTTTCTTGTTTAAAAATGTTTTTCAGTACTTATATTTTGTGTAGTTTGAGATTACTCAAACTCAAAACGAAGACTTCACGGAAAAGTTACGTAACTGAAATAAAAATTCTCACTAATCCTAGGTGAGCGTAATTTGGCTTTGAACAACTCGGCCCATAAGTCTTAGCTTTTTTATTTTACTTTTAGTTTGTGAATCTGCAAAGTATTTACCTCGATACACAGTTCTGCAGTAATGACGGTCCCGTTACTCAGGGCTTACTGTGTGCTGATCTTGGAATGAACAGTTTTTTTTCTTTCTCTCTCCTTCCAGATGGAGAAAAGCTGGAGAACAAAATGAAGAAACTAGAGACGCAGTACAATTCTCTGCAAGTTTTGTCAACCATCACCAAGCTTGGAACTAAAGAGGTACACAGCTAAATCGATGTTTAATTTTTAACGAATGAAATTGTTTCACGATAAAAGTAGGTTTTTGTTGACCTTGCAGCCGTTACTTGATTGTCACGCAACGCCTTTCTTACAATGATTATAAGGGAGCAGGGGATGTTGCGTGACCACTTAATTCACGTCTGCGATCCCCGTCTGCGAGATCTTTGTCTCGATAAAAGAATCCGTTGCTTGGTTTGTCACGCAACGCCTCCCACAATAATTAAAAGGGAGCCAGGGGTGCTGCGTGACCATTAAGTCACGACTGTGAGATCTTTGTCTCTTTATTACAAAGTTAACGGTGAATCTCTTTCCTCTTTACAGCAAATAGTCAATGCTGGAGAAGGCGATCTGTTGACGAAAGAGAGGCTCTGCTGCGGACTGTCCATCTTTGAGGTGGTACTCAAAAAGATTAAGATGTTCTTGACCCATGAGATGTGGAAAGAACAGCCACCTGCTAACGGTGTCATGAACATTGACGAGTGCAAAGAGTTTCACCGTCTGTGGAGTGCGATTCAGTTCAACTACTGTCAGCCACTGAGACAAAACGAGCTCACCGTCGAGTAAGTAGAAACGCTAATGCTATACGCTGGGTGTCCTTTGGCCAGAGTGATTACTTTGGTTCTGGTTTTACAACACTCGTTTCAAAACCTCTAGAAAAGACGCAGTCATTTCATTATTTTCTGTTGTTTTGTTATCACGTTCACAGGGAGTGCTTTGGTGAAGGTCTCAACTGGGCCGGATGTACGCTCATTGCTTTGCTGGGGCAAGAAAATCGTTTTGAAGCGTTAGACTTCTGTTATCATATCGTCAAAGTGTACGCCGTGGATTCTCGAGACGAAGTTGTCGGTGGCGTGGTGAGTGAACAGTCATTTGACATTTTTGAGGAGCAAGGATGGCGCAGTGGTGAGAGCGCTTGCCTCCCACCAATGTGGCCCGGGTTGGATTCCGGCCCGGTGCTATATGCGGGTTGAGTTTGTTCAGTTCTCAATTTGCTCCTTGGGTTTTTCTCCGGGTTCTGGGTTTTCCTCCCTCCACAAAAACCAGCATCTCTAAATTCCAATTCGACCTAGCCTGCGTCGCGGGCGGTTACCTACCAGGCCCCTCACTGCATCGCCCCTTTCGCTGCTTGCTCGCGCGCTCTACCCCAACTAAACCGCCAGCTACGCAGGCTAAATTCGACCAGGATAGAGGACCTGCATGCATACCAGCTAAGGCTGATGCAGCTTCCTCTCTAAATGTTGTAAATTTTTTTATCTATAGACATCCATGATTGAGTTGTTCTCGTTTAAGTCTCTGAAATAGCTAAGATTTGAACTAGTTCCTGTTAGTGGCGATGGGGGGATGTGTAGTACTCTTTTTTTTTATTTTTTATTTTATATTTTGGTAGAGAGATGTGTGATATTCCATAACGTATTTGAGACTTGACCGAAGCGTCGTTACCTTACATACATGTATTTGAGACGGAAGAAGGGCTTCGAAATCTTCCGATGTTAATTTCAGATCAACACTTCGCAAAAACCGTAATCTTTGGCGCCGTGTAGACATACATAACGTATGCAGATGTGTTATTGACCGAGAGCGATGTCAAGACGTCCTGTTTTTGGCCGACTCGGAGTAATTTTTGTGTTTATGGACCGACACGCAGTCTTAAGACACGCAAAAAGAAGGACGCCAAGACCAGACAAGCTTGGTCAATAAAGGATTTATTACGTGGCTTAAAGAAATCCGTTTTCTTGCGGGCTTCAGCGGGTAATTCCCAGCGGGCAAGATAACCCTATCTTGCCCGCTCGGGTAACTTGTTAGCACAGGAGTTGGATAATCTCGCCCGTCACCGGAGCAAACCAATATAAGTCGGAAAAATCAACCCCCTCCCCCTCCCCCAGCCCCCCCCCCTTAAAAAAGGCAACCCATCTTTGGTCGGTGAGATCGTTCGTGGCAGGATCGCTCAAATATGATCACTGACGTTTGATGTCAACACATAGCTAACAAATTATCGTCATGTATTCATTCCCAGGACCTCAAGCGACTTGTAAGCAGAGCTCGTCACTTCAGAGTATTGAATGACCAGATCTTCGCCGTGTTAAACAAGCACCTCAAGTCCTCGGACGGACCTGTGGAACATGTACGCTGCTTTCAGCCGCCCATCCACCAAGCATTTGTTTCTCCAATCTGATCATGCTGGCCAGTGCGCCTCGCTTCGAAATATACTGCATGGCTCGTATGCAAAGTAGTCAGTGTAAAAACAAATGTAAAGAAAATTTTGGTGGCGTTGTACGAAAGACTTCTTTCCTTAATGAAATTTAGGTGGGTAATTGGGAATAGCAGGGCTGCAAATATATTTTTTTTCTCGTGAAGGGACATGTCCTACAGACACCATCTTGGTCGGACAAAACAAATTGTGGTCGGACATCACCAAAAAAGTAAGATTTACTCAGGGTAGATTTTTATTCATCCTTATCGTAAAACGATTTACGATAAAAAATTTGTCCGGACATCATGTCCGACCACAGTTGGGATTTCGTTGGACACAAACAAATTTTGGTCGGCCAATGTCCGATGACAGACTGTTATTTGCAGCCCTGGAATAGGAGCCGTATTTTGTAAGTGCGTTTTTTTTTCCTTTAAACACGCACTGTCACCTGTAGAAAAGACAGAACAACAAGGTGTCAAAAGTTGTTCATGCCATTGTCCAGTTTCTGTTCTCCAGTTCTCGTAAGCCTTACCGCCTTCCAAACTAAACCCAGTCAAACCCAGGAGTCAGTTAACGAGATTTTAGATGAAAACAAAACAAAACAAAAAGAAAAAGGATATGTCCGTAGTTTCAGTTGGATGTAGTGACAAATATTATAATTTTTTTAAATAATTATTGTCTTTATAGCAAAAGAACAGAAAGACGGGTATTAGTAGTTGAGATGTATCAATGTATATAAAATTGCCTAGTATTTTATTTGTATTCTTTGTAATAAAATTGTCAGTTATCTTTGTCGTCCACGTGTAGTCTCGTCTGATGTAGCCTCTTTCAGGAGTCGTTAGCTTAGGGGCAGCACAAAGAACCGCAGTGGAATTCGAAAGAAAGGTGAGGGGTGTGAGAACTAAGCCTAGCCTCTACACTCGGCCTTCTTAGCGCTGTTCCCTATTTATAACCAAACGCCTGGAATATGCTAGTTTAACGCGGCATAAAAAGGGGACGATGGGATGAATACTTCCCAGTCTACTTGGGACAAACCAACACGCAAGACAACTTGTAACAATGCACACACTTGCAGAAAAAGTTAATAGTTTACTTCAAGTTTTAAGATTAAATTTTTCACCACCAAGATAAAGAATTCCTGATGTGTGTTGGATGTCTCTGGATCTTCTCTAACTCAGTCAGTTGTCTCCTTTGTCTTTTCTTGTTTTTCTCTTTCCCTGTGCCTTCTTTGAGTACAACATAGTAGTGACAGTATTTCTTGTGCATTATGCCAGTGCGTCCCATGGCATGATAGCGGATTTTCTTGATGTATCGTCCTTTGGTTGAGAAAGACTCGGCTAAAAGGAAAACAAATACAGAGAGAATAAGTAAAGACGTACGTCGTCTGTCTAGCCTTACGCAAACGGTCTTTTGGCTCGTCACGCAATCTTCCATCAAGGAAGATTGCGTGACGAGCCAAAAGACCGCCAGCGTAGGAGGCTATTGTCCGTCCTACTGCGCGTTCATGCCAATCCAGGCTCGAGAAGGACCTCACGCTGAAATTCTTCTGCTGCATTCTTTGCGCTTTATAGATCTGTGAGAGAAGCATGCCTTTACCAAAGCCAGTTACAATCCCAGCTAAACCTCTTGAGCCCAACTCATACTATAATTCTATAACGGTTTCACTGCTACGCAAATCACTAGTGAGAAACTCGTGGAGATGACTTTAATGCCGAACCTAGCCAAATTTTGGCAACAAATAGTTTTAAGCTTACTAAAAGATAAACACTTACCAATCCACAAGTGAGTCTTGTCTTCAATGCCATGCTTTTCTACTGCAATTACCCGAGCCTCCTCTATTACCTAAACAGCCGAAGATTCTTTCAGTCATAAGCCTTGTTAACACGACGTATCCTAAAAGAACGTCCATGCCTTGGTCAATATCTCGGGGGGGNTGTTACTCCCAGATGTGCACTTACCATTTAACTTCTAATGAAAATATTCCGGCACATTCTAAGAACCTTAAGACCTTTTTTTTCAAGTCTGTCACTTGTGCATGTAATTCATCTAGAAATGAACAGGTCATTAGCATGCAGCCCACCCTTGTTGCCCTTTCATTGTGCCCTAAATCGTGTTTTCCAAGACAGAACCATGTGAGTGACTCTTGGTTGCACTTGGTCATTCATTTTGTTCCTTATTAAAAACTTCTGTCTGTCCACATGTTTTTGCCTGTATAGCTGTGCTAATGTAATCATGGGGCTCTACAAATGACATGTACATGTAGCCCTTGTTTGCTTTCCATACTTGTTTAATAATTCCTGCAGCTCTTTTGGTAGAAAACATCATCTGTTTAATTGCTTCATCAATCTGGAGTCCTCTGATCTGGAAAAGAAAGAAAAAGGAGAGATGAATTAAAAAATTAGAAGGAAAAGGAATTTGGAAGAAAAGGAAAAGTAACCTTCTACATGCAAATTTAATTCTTTTATAGAAAATTAGCCATGAAACTACAAGAAAGTCTTGAAGAGTGGTCTCACAAGATCATTCAGGAAAGTTCCCAGTTCAATACTTGGAAACCATTGGACTGGCAATAGAGTGTAGTTTGATTTTAATAATTGGACCTCAAAGTACACTTAAGTATATATTACCTGTTTTGCCACCATGTTAAACTTTGTTGGGCTGCCCTTGACATCCCTAATGCAATGATATATGGTCTAAAAGAAATACATCAAGGAATGTTTGCACAAAATCTTTTAAATCTCTCTTTACAAGAATAAGGAAATAACAGTTTGCTCTTCTAGAACTATATGAGTAAAAATTACTGGGGAGTGGGTTGTTGAAGCTGTATTTTCAGTGACATACATGTAATGATTAGCACATTGTCCAAAATAAGCTTTAGATTTTGAAGAAATCCAGGTTTTAAGCCCTCCCAGGATCATTGCTTTGCAGTCTTAGGCAAAGCTCTGTATTCTCACAGTGCACCTCTCTACCACAGGGTGAATAATTACTGTCCCAGTGAATTGGCAGGAAACCAACGAAAATGCTCAGGGTAACCTGCAGTGGACGACACAGAGCATTCCATCCGGGGGGTGGGGGGTGGGGATAGCAATACATAGCCACATCATGCTACGGAAAACAGGGTTAGTCCACTGTAGGCAATTTAAGTTGCTTCCGTCCCTGGGATTGTAAGCCCCTTAAACCCAACTAGCTCATAGCTCTCAGTGCTTAACTCCCATTTGTGATAATAAAAGAACTCATTAGTGAATCAAACCCTGGTCTCCCATATAACATGAGTGGGGATACTCACCACTATACTACCAAGGATTGGACAAAAAAGTAATGAAAACATATAGGCTGATAGGCTTTCATTTAGCTCTCATCGCTTAAAACTCCTGTTTCAAATTTACAAATTTACATATACAAATGTTTATTAATACTGTGAGAACCCCCCCCCCAAAAAAAAAAAAAATTAAAGAAATGTATGAGGCTTAATTGGAATTTTCAGAGGGGTGGGAGGGGGTCTTATTAAAAAAAAATCCCTTCTGTGGGGGAGGTAAGGTTATTTTCTTGGACTACATATTGACCGCAGGCCAGAGCTCTCGCCTAGAACCCTTGATCCAGAGTTTAGAGCACTGACCTTTAGGCCACTGCACCTTCCACATCTCAAGGACTGTAATAGATGTTATTATTTCTTGTCACATACTCAGACTCACTTAGGTTTTGCAATTTGAAGAGTATCAATAGTATAAACAACAGCTTCAAATGCAGTTACAGTTACCTCTCTTGGTGGTTCTGGTATTCCCTTTTCTTCTTCAATCTCAGCTGGAGTCTTTCCCCATAACTCTCTAGTGATTGAGAATGTAACTGGGTGCTGCGCACTCATGTGTAACTTGGAACACAGTAATGGCCGCAAGGTCAAGTTCCTTTTTTGATAAGCAGAGAAACAATTAAATCTTGATGAAATAATGATAAGTAATTAGTTGCTAATGCACAGTGATTAACATGAGTGGTCTAGATATAGTTTTCTTATTACTCCCAAAAGTATGCTTGAGTAGGTCTAACATACTCCGCAAAAGTTACCCCCGATACATTTATATGCACAGCAACTGTCAACATATTCACTTATTCCCCACTTAACGTCAACTGGATGTTTAGGGGCCGGGGGGGGGAGGATATGGGGAGAGGGTGTTAGTGAGGAGCATTTTGGACCAAAATAAAATTGACCCCTGTTGCTTTTTTCGGAGTTCGAAACAACTGCCTCAGAAATGATGAAAAAAGCTTCTTTAAGAGGTCAAGTGATATGTAGTAGAACTAGATATGCAGCTGAATATAAGTGAGAACAAGGAGGAATTAGTGAAGCGACAAGTTTATTATTTTCTCGATCTCGAAAGAATTCGAGAAACCAATGAAGAGACTGCCAATTCACGTTTGGTTTGTCTTCATGTGCCATGTTCTACAGGTAATTAATCTGATTGTTCGACGAGAATTTCTTTCGTTTTCACTAAAACACCTACCTTAATTGAAACTGTGCGACTTTCAAGAGTCCTTCGACTAAAACAAAATCAGAAATAGTAAAGAATTGAGAAAAAACAGACAAAAATAGCAAAATTCTTCGAAAACTCCAAAACACATGTACCTCTGGAGGCGGCCATCTTGAATAACAACACAACTAGTGCCAGTTCCTTCGCAGCATTTGCGGCTTCCACGACCAAACATGGCCGCAGATGCGTCGAAGTTCGTTCTTCCCGGTTCACCTAATTGGTACTGTAGTACTGTGGCGGACTGTAGTTTGAGTAAGATATATGCATTTGGTGCCAGAAACTGTGTTTATCTGTTAGACGTGAGTTCGGCGACGCCTGTATTTGAGGGTCAGCTGGTCGGCCATGCTGAACGGGTGACGAGCGTTAGTTTTACCAAACACAAGCTTCATGCGAGTTTTCTAGCGAGCGGCTCGGACGATAAAACAGTAAAAGTCTGGGACTTGGAGACGAAGCTCGCACTATTGGAGCACAAGGCACATAACGTAAGGAGTTCTTACAAAATAAGCCTAAATATTGTTTACCAAATGCTTATTTGAAACTTCACTTCAGTCTCCTCGATCTGAAACAGCTAATTAACAATCTCAGCTTCAGTAGCGCTGGCGCAACTGTTTTTTGCTCCAAAACAAGGGTAATTTGAAGCAAGGATTGGAAACACTCTCAAGGCTCAGTTTTTCGTGTTAAGGAAGTTTCATTTAAGAAGGACATGAATTTAAACTGAGAATGTCGCATTGACAGCTGAGCACATTGACACATGGCCGCAGAAGTCTCCTGTATCCCCCGTCCCCCGCGCCCTCTACACCACCCACTCTCTATACCACCACCTATACCACCACCCGAGTGCAGCCTCACCCAACCCCCTCTATGCTATTATGTAAAGAGTGTAGGAACTTTGTGTTTAGACTGGACATATGTTTGTTTCTCTACGTTTCAAAAATTAATTAATTAACCTTACCACATTGAAACTTATGAAAACTGTCTTCTTAATAATTATTAATAATCCTCCATAGGAAGAAAAGATGGCAACTGGTACATGTGTCCATGATTCTTGGCACATGAAAACTTCAACAATACTCATAAAAACATAGAGAACATTTCTGACATCTTTCAATGTACAATATGTAGCACAAACCATATTGAAAGCACAGGGACAAATATTGCAAAAATATGGCTTTCTTTGTACTTTATGGGCTGTGTAAGGTTCACATGGTATTGTGGTCAAATGTACTGTCAGCTGTCATCTTTTTTCCTAAAGAGGATTATATTTTGCTCACCCAAAGACTATATACTACTGTAGGGCCAAGAGGGGCTTATATGTCAGGTATTAAACATTACCACAAAATCCAGCTATTCCATTGTGCTTTGCTCACCTAAATGCCTGTCCGATCTGACTGTTTTATAAACAAAATTGTCTTATTTTAATTGTAAAATGTATCAAACCACCCTTTTTTCAGGCAAAAGTCACCTGCCTTACCTGGTCCCCTCTGGTTACAGATCTTATCATTTCAGGTGAGGTTAATATTCCCTAATAAAAGTAATAAACTGACAATGAATAAGCATGTGTATCTTATGTTGTGGTCAGAGACACTGCTTACCAGATATTGTTAATGTAACCTGACCAATTACACTTGAGACAAGACAACAGCCTTCACATTTGTATATGAACTCTCTAAAAGGTATGCTAGAGTTAAGAGTGTAAAGCCATCTTCCAGTTTCATAATAGCAATTACACCTTGTTTCAAGGTGCTTTCTCTTGCTCACTTTTAAAAGGTAATTAAACTGCTCAGAAAACCCAAGTCCAGTACTGGTGGTATTGCACCATGTACCAGGCCTGTCATTAAGTTTTGATTCACCTGTAGCCTTGATCTTTACACCCATAATTTGGTAACAAATTTGCTACTTTATGGGTGCATTGCTTCAACGGCAAATTCACCCATAACAACAAGGGGCTGTCTAACATGCTCAGCCGTAACAGGTGGTACGGTTTATGGCCCTTATTGACAGCCCTGTCATGCCATATCCTTACCATAAAATTATATTCTATTGTACTGTATATCCATTTTTTCATAACTTGTTACACATTTTATTTACTTTATGGGTTATTTGTCCAGACATTCCTCATTTGTTCTGACTTATTTCCTGTGAGAAAAATTTTCTTGACTTGTAGGTGATGAGAAAGGACAGATTGTTGCATGGAGATATACTGAAGAGCTATTGTTTAGTGGCTGTCACATCCAGGAGCATATCCTCTCCATAGCACTTTCCTATCTTTCAGAAAACGAACTAGCTGTTGGGTAAGTTGGTAGGGTTTTAAAATTCTGTTAACTGTCTAGGTGATGTTGCTTACAGTCTTAGTTGTTTGTCATCTGTTTCTCTGTTTGTCAGTCAGTCTGTCTGTCTGTCCGTCTGTCCATCTGTCCGTCCATCTGTCCATCAGTCACTCAGGATTCAGTCAGTCAGCTGTCTGTCAGTCAGTCAGTCAGTCAGTCAGCCAGTCTGTCTTTCTGTCTGTCAGTTTGTCTGTCTATCTGTCTTTCTGTCTGCCTGTCTGTCTGTCTCACAAGTGTGATCTCTATATCATGGACACCAACTACATGGTTGGTATAAAGGAACTGTACTCTTGTAAACTTAAGAGTCAATTTACATCTGATAGAACACATAATGCTGTTAATAATTTTCAAAGCTGCTTTTCGTACAAAAGGTATAAAAGTGGACTGATAGCTGTGTTAAATGTTAATGCAAATGATGGAAGGATATCCATGGTGAACAAGCTACAGGGACATTCCAGTGAAATTCACAGTCTTGCCTGGTGTCCAACTCCTAATGACCACATTGAGTTTGGTAAGTGTGAGTAATTTATCTTTTCCTTTGCATAATATCTATTAATACTTTGTCTATTATAATTTGGGTTAAGGTAAAGAATGTGATCCCACCGATGCGTCGGCCGACACATCACCGACGCGTTGGTCGATACACCACCGACACATCACCGACACACTACTGACGCGTTGGTCGGCACATTGTCAATGCGTCGGCCGACACACTACCGACGCGTCGGCCGACACTCTACCGACACGTTGGTTGAAATATTTTCCCTTTTTAACTCTTATTGTGTTATTTCTTTCAGTTGGAAGCAAGAACAACTTCATAAGAAAGGGCTAAAACGTGATAGCTAAATAGCCGCCATTTTTAAAATGAAACACTAGTACCGAGGTCTTCTCGATGTTTTGTCAAGGGTCGGTTACCAAAGGGAGTTTAT